ATGTCAGTGTACTTTTGGCCTCGTGGCCACGTACAGTATACGACTTTAATCTGACTGTAAAGCAGGCTAACAAGTGACGGAAATAATGAGCATCTGTCCATACCATGAGGATATGATGAATCACAATCAAGTCACAGATTCTTACGACCCAATACTCCTTTGAGTCGGCATTGAGTACTTGGGGAATGTTGTGACCCTGAATACTCAAAATGTTCAATATATCGCTGACGTATATTGTTTTAATAAAGATGGTATAAATCTTCCCGTCCCCTTTTTAGTCTTTGCTGTTAATAGTTCACTGCTTTTAGAATTAACTTGCTTTTGTTAATGCTTTTATTATAGATCTTCCCCTCACCTACACATGCACATCAAAGATCGCAATACAGTGCAAAATAATGTGATTGAATTTTGTATCGCAGAGAATCACATGGTTTTGGTGGAGGTAAGGAGGTACAATTGAAAGGTAGATGTACCCTCAGAGCCCGTTGAGATGACTTTTCAATGCTCTTTCATCGACAGTGATACATCCCCAGTGTTCATACGTGTAAGATCCGGTGTTCTGGTTGTCTTAGACGCCGCGGCGCGTTGTGTAGTGTTGCATCCATATGGCCGCCACAAACTAATGATCGTTGGTTTGAATTCTTGTCACCATGATTATATGTTTAGGTTTGTCAGCATGATTATATGTTTAGGTTTGTCAGCACTATATCCGTGCTCGTCAATGTTCTAACCGTCTGACAGACATGCGTCACTTCCGGCTTTCCTAACACATTAGACTGAAATAACTTAAATACTGTCCGGGGCAATGGGGGTAGCCTAGTGGTTAAAACGTTCGGTCTTCACGCCGAAGACCCGGGTTCGATTCCCTACATGGTAACCAATGTGTGGAGCCAATTTCTAGTGTGATGCTGCTGGAGTATTGCTAAAGACGGCGTCAAACAATACTCACTGACTTAACTACTGCTGCACAAAGCGGTTTTAAATCAAGCTCACTCACTCACTCACTCACTCACTCTTTGTCAATTTATTCTTTTTAGGGGGCACGGGTTTCCCAGTCATCTTAGTAACCGCAATTCGTTGTACAGAGTTGTGTCCCTTGGGCACACCAAAAACATATGATCGTCCAATCCCGGTTCATCCCGATTATGTTTCCAGGTTTGTCAGCACCATACCCAACCCGTGAAGATCTGGGGTAGAACAGGTCTTCAGCAACCCATTCCTACTGTAAAAAGCGACCATGCTTGTCGTTAAGAGGCGACTAACGGGATCGCTGATTTAGTTGATGCATGTCATCGTATTCCAATTCCGTGCTCGTGGGTTTCACCAAAGTTGTAAACGTTTGAGACCTGCATCACTTCAGGCTTTCTTCCGAAGTGGGACGGTCGGGTAGCCTTGTGGTTAAAGAGTTCGCTAGTCACAACGAAGACCCAGGGTTCGATTCCCGACATGGGTACAATGTGTGAAGCCCATTTCTGGTGTACCCCGCCGGGATATTGTTGTAATATTGCTAAACGCGGTGTAAAACAACACTCGCTCACATTCTTCCCAAGTTATACCCAACTCACAAATTCACTTACTTTTTTATGTCAGATCATGTCATATTATTTGTCCAAAGCATGCAAATGAAAACAGGCTCGTCGTTACTGAAATGGACATTAATATCGTTACAATTTAAATTTGCTAGAGAACACAAAGGACCCTTATCATAAGTCGTGATCATCGTGATCACATACCACCACACCGATCCACGTGTCGCCTGACATGGTCATCCATCATTCTGAGGGCAAATCACAACACACGATTCAACACAGATACCAGCAGATGGATTACTATGTACCAAGCGACAACAAATATTCCGAGCATTATTGATCCTCTCGGTTTACTTATTTGTATTTACATACGTAATCATTATTTGTCCCAACAATTATACCTTAGGTAAGCGTGTTTACAGACGGTGACACATCAATTACATTGATAGATTACTCAATTAACAAGTCTCCCAGAGGCGCTCTGGCCCGACGATATTCTATACCAGGGTCCTCTCCGTGAGGAGTGATACGTCACATTCGGTCTGACAGCAGCATTAATTCTCTGGCTGCAAGATTGAATCGTCTCCTGACAACTCAAATATTTATCAGAATTTAATTTCACTTGGTCGTATTAATACGCAAACACCACTTTATCACAGAGAAATGATTTTCTCTATGACAAAGATGGGAGTATTCGTTTCAGTCAACATGGGAAATCTGAAACCGGTTTGGTGTGAATCTGAGATCAAATCAGGTTGATTTAGATTACAGTGTGGCATTTTAGAAAACATGGAGCTTTTAGCGAGTAAATTGGAGTAAACAAAGAGTGACATATCAAGGGAGGAACCCTTTCATCTCCTGGGAATTGGCTGTAAATAATGATTTTCATCTAAAGACATCGTATTAATATATAGATAAAGAGAACTGTTCTTACGTTCCCTCCCAGAGAAGTCGAGGCGTGCCTTCTTGTGTGCGGATATTTCAGGTTTGTGTACAAAACAGTTTAAGACTTTCAGAAATACTGACCTAGTGACCCACATGAGCATTGTTAGAATTTAGCTGCTAATGGAAATGTTTATTCTTTAAATTTAAACGCCAGTTTTATGGATATATGTCAATTTTTTGTATACAAAAACATGGAAGCGCCGATATGTATACGAATAACTTCAGTGGCAACAGCCCTGGTTTAGGCGTTCTTGAACTAAGCGAGCGTTTTCTTCTTTCCAACGTCTGGACTTGTTCCGAGTTGGTCTTGTTCATTTAGAACTGAAGAGATGGTGACATAAACTCCAGTAAGACATACATGTCCCTTGTTACCCTTTCTGCAGGAGTCCTTGTTGAGTGAGTGAGTGTGTTGTGTTTAACGCCGTTCTTAACAGTAGTCCAGTTGTAGCACGGCGTGTCAGCTTAATGGGAGAAAACGACGACGCGAGGCATGTCTCAGACGTTTATTTCTTTACGAGCACGAGTTTGATGCTGACAAACCTAGAAACATAATCGGGGCGACCCGGGAATCGAACCCACAATCATAGGTTTCTGGCGTGCTCATGGGACCTTGTGTAGGCAGTATTGTTTAGCTGACCACCTCAATGCGAGTTGGGTGCAAATGTCAACTAAAAGTTGAAGCAGGATCACGAGAGGTACATGGAGTTTTATGCATCGGAGGCGAGTGGTATAAAATATAACGAGAAACGCATGAAACCTCATGTACCCCGAGTGATCCTGCTACAACGAATTTATCTCACCGACATGTTTAAATATGACATTGTAAGAAAATTAAAACATTTTCAAAATTGATAGAAAACAGCTGTTCGATTGTGATAGCGTGTGCTATGTCGCGTGACTTTCAATGACTCGGAAAAAGCGTGCGGCTTTTTGCTTGGAAGCGGTGTGTGAGGGATTTATTTGCCTCTCAGAAATTCAAATGTAGCCAGCCTTGCTAGTGGCGGGGTATAAGTGATTTATTCGCCCGCTGAGAAATTTATTCCCCTCCAAGGCGGGACACATCGTATTTTATCATGTTCACGTGGACCAATCAGATCTCATCATTCTGACATAGTGGTAGGATTATATAAGTTGTAGCAGGATCACTCGGGGTACATGGGGTTTTATGCGTCCCGCGTCAGGTTTTATACCTAGAACTCAAAGGGGGACGCATAAAACCTGAGTAATCCTGCTGCAACGAATTTATCTCACCGACATGTTTAAATATGACATTGTAAGAGAATTACATATTTAAAATTGATAGAACACAGCTGCTCGATTGAGCGGAGGTTAGCTTGTGCCATGTCACGTGACTTTCATTGGCTCAGAAAAAGCGCGAGCCTCTTTTCTTCGAAGCGGGGAATGAAAGATCTATTCTCCCTCTCAGAAATCCACGTGCAGCCTCTTTTGCTCGTGGCAGGGTATCATCAACTGAGAATTTATTTCCCTTTAAGGCGGGATACATAGTGTTTGATCAAGATCACGTGGACCAATCAGATCTCATCATGGAGGTAGGAAAATGCAGTTTGATACGTCTGCCGCAGCAATTTACACTACGCCCAGACCTTTCTTGTGTGTTATTGAAATACTCAGACAGTAACTATATAGTTGTATACATCCGCCGTGTACAACTTCACAATCATGTATGTCAAATGACATTTATCAAGCCAAAGCAAACATGAATGTCGACGACGTAGCGTGGAGTCACACGATAAAACTGATCCCCAATACTTGAGATCCCTTTAAATGTGACCTGATCATGACGACCAGATGGAGTGAGGCCGATTGCGTGTCAACTGGACTCGTAGATGCACAATGCTTTTGTATTTACTGTCCAGACTCGATACTTTGAACAACAGCTTCTTGTCAAATTTTGGAACATCACCTGGCACATTACCGCAAAGGGTCACCGACTTCTGGGAAATATATTCTGTTACGTTTGAAACATTGTCTTTCAACATTCCAAGCCTTTTAGTTTCTGAGGATCCTTTTTTAAGCAAATGTACAAATAATATGAGTTCTCACATTGTTGTCTCATCCCGTTAGCCGAAAAATAAATTAACGGACGAACGTCTTTTATAGCTCACTTGGTTCTTCGTCCATGTGAATTATTTGAGCCTCATGTTTAAATGATTATTATAACTGAAATGTTGATAATATGCTTGGACATTTTGGTTCATTCCATGTTTATGTGGGTCTGGAACTCGGTAATAATGAAAACTTATTCCTTCCTCGTTTACGAGGTTGTGGGGTTTGTGCAGAATTGCATACCTTCTGCACGACAGAAACCTATGATTGTGTTCCTAGGTTTGTCAGCACCATATCCGGGCTCGTGGGTAAGATCTGCATCACTTAAGACTTTCCTTCCACACTGAGCTCACACGCCGTGATAAAACTTACATACTGTTGAAAACGTCGTTGGACCCAAAGAAAAGACAGTTGATACATACACGTTCATAAAAAAAAAACCTTCTTTCTGTTTTTCAGGTTACGGACATCTGACACCTCGTACTTTCTGGGGTCGCCTGGCAACGATACTATATGCCCTGGTGGGGATACCCCTTACTCTTCTCTGCCTCACCAACATTGGCTCCTTCATGGCAAAGTGTTTTCGGTTCTTTTGGAAAAAGATCCCACGATGCAAATGCGCAAGAAAAAATCCCCAGCCCGGAAGAATCCTACATCGAATGTCCGACCCGAGCACAACAAGCTATACGTACGGAAATGAAGGAGCGATTGATAGTGTTGTGGAATGCCCACCCGAAAACAACAACACTATTGTGCGAATACCAATTTTCGTGTGTCTTCTGCTCCTAGCGGGGTATATATTCCTTGGAGCCATGTTGTTCACTCTGTGGGAACCAGAGTGGAATTATTTGGAGGGTTCGTATTTCTGTTTTATAACACTGAGTACAATTGGGTTTGGGGATTACGTGCCCGGCTATCGTCACGACTCTTGGCACAACCAAGCTAAACGTATCTCGTGCACTTTGTACCTTCTGTTCGGACTGGCTTTGATATCAATGTGCTTCGACCTAATTCAATCTGAAGTTAGGGAAATATTCAAAAGCTTAGGCAGATCAATGGGGATATCTAAATCTGGCCCCGATAGGGTTTGAAAATACCAGATCTTTACTTACTATTGGACTGGGACCACAGACCGAAGGATTTGGATTGTACATGAGATTGTAGAGATAACTGTTCAGTGCTTGTGTAGGCCTCAGAATGTTCTGAGAAGCAAGGCTCAACATCTACCTAGTATGTAAACCTGGGTGAATAAAGAACTCAGAAATAATTGATCCAGGAATTAAATGCAAATCGTAACGACCCACATTCAAGAGCATTACTCATAATCTACGATAAGGTCACATCACTAATCTGCAATGTCATTTGTTCACCTTGGGGGTGACAGGCAATTTTGAGGATTAATGAAATAATTATGAACGATTAAGGGAAATGTATATTTGACTAATTGTTGTGCCGCTGCTACACCTACACACCGCCTTCGTGACTTGTAAAACCACAGTGCATTATTTGGGATATTTCAGACTTATTTTGAAACAACTATATTAATTTGTTTTATGTTTGTCAGTTATATGTGCCTGAAATTACAGCTCACAGTTGGAACGTCGGATCTCAGAATAAGGTTTGTGATTTTTGAAAACTTGGTGATATTACGTAAATAAAAAAATGCTCATTTACAGATGTACGTCCTTTGCCTTTTTAGCTTTTGTGTGAAACTCTATGTGACAAATGGCCTTGAATACAATAAACAGAACACGATTCTGATATATTATTTTAAGTCAGTCATAAAATACTGCTCATGTGACGAAGAACCATACCATGCCAGCAGAACCCTCAGATATATCCATACTTAACTCTCTTCAGTAAGGATTCCGTAATTCGATACAGCCGTGCTGTAGTCGAAACTCCAAAAAAATGCGAGGTCAAATTTCCAAGTTGATTTCATTACTTATTTACCTTTTATCTGATATGGGAATAATCTGATACGGTGTCATGTCCTCAAGGGAGATAGCTGTCTTTACAACGCGTAGCCCATTACATTGTAGTTTTGCTCAGGGTTAGAGACCCGACACCATGTGTAGATATTGGCAATGTTTCACTCACGACACAAGGTGGGTATGGTCAGTGCTCCATAAAACATACTATAATGGCAACGTGTTTTCTGTATACGTAATATTTGAGAGCAAAGAACATAAGCAATAGAAATGCAAAATTAGTTTCATACTATTAAGATGAAATTGATGTGAGTTCGTAAACGGTCCAGTTCGACTGGCTACCCCTTTCTATCCAAGCTGCCTTTGTCCTTCCACGGTGTAACAAGTATACCTTAATGTATAACTGTCTGTTCATCAGCGTTGAATGCCATCATGTTTCCATGCAACGTCAGAGCAGCAATGCAATGGGACATTTTCACGAATAACCTCATATAGAGTTATTCGTAATTCGAGAAAAACGAGGGTACTGATATCAGACTACAGGACAGAAAAGGATATGCAAGGACTACAGTATTAAATTGTCTTTGACTATATATCGAGATTACCGCGTTCCATTTAACGGGGTATGTCTGTTTATACATGTGGAAATCAAGCATTGCGAATGACGGTATATTTCCACATAACACTGATGTCAATGAGGAATGTTCACTGCCTCTTATATTCACTGCCTCTTATATTCACTGCCTCTTAAATTATGTGTGAGAATCTCACATGAGTGTCTTTTGATATCAAATATATCATCACGAGTCGCTAAACGTTAAACAACTCGAATCTAGCCGAGTAGTTTTAAACCTTTATCAATGACTTTAGATATATTTGATATCAAGAGCAACGTCAGAAAGATTGATTTATTATGTAAAATTATTCTTCTAAATTCTTCAGATTGTAAACAGTAGTAACCAGTGTCTTGAGTGTAAAGCGTACAGCTATCCAGCTTCGGGGGAGAATGACTAGTAATGTCATTAGTTTGTTACGTCATGGCAACCGATGATGTCACAGTGATCAGCAAAGCATTGTGGTGCAATTCATCGCAGCGACATTTCCTTTGAGACGCAAAATATTCAAATTGAATTGATAACCTGCAGGCATGACTGATAGGCGTGTAGTGTATGTATATCTCATTAGCGTTATTGAAACAAGTAAGTTCATATAATTAGGTATTAAACTTAACACATCCAAGAGTAAGTGCAAGACAAAGGTCATGGTGAAGTAAGGTTCCAGTTTGTGCACGTTAGATTTCCTAGACGGATACCCATATAGTAATCGTAAGTCGTTGTGGCAAATCATAACATGTTATTAGAGGTGAAGTCAGGTGAAATGGGGTTTAACGTCGCGTTCAGGATTAGTGCACGTATAGAACGACGTGTATGCACGTGTGTTGTTGGCTGTACTAGTCTAGACTAATGCCGATTTCATAGTGCTAGCCCACTGGGATGTCATTTCGCAGTTTAACATGATACTCGACCAGTCCGTGTTTTAGACCCTCAATGCCGATGGCAAGACAGGGAAACAACAAGTACCATTTTTAACGTCTTTTGGTATGACGCGGCCGGGGGTCGAACCCCGTACCTTTCGCTCTCAGGTCAGAAGCTCTACCACTAGAGTACGGAACCCCATCACATGTTATTAGAACTTCCATGTGTTGTGATTCAAGTATACATTAAACTATACAATTAGCTTTTTCAGCTTATTACGCAATCGTACCAGATATACATCCTATGTAGTTCAGTCAACTGCTCCACTTCCACAACACAGGGTATGCACCTAGGGTGGAACCAGTTGTTCATACAATCAAACAACTCCAATCGCAGCAACAGGGTACGCAATTTGGGTTGAACCAGTTGGTAGAACAATCAACAGACCTACATCATTGACAGGGTACGCACTGTGGTTGGAACCAGCTGGTAAAACAAGCAACAGACCTACATCATTGACAGGGTACGCATTGTGGGTGGAACCAGTTGGTAGAACAATCAACTGACCCACATCATTGACAGGGTACGCACTGTTGGCGGAACCATTTGGTAAAACAATCAACTGACCCACATCATTGACAGGGTACGCATTGTGGGTGGAACCAGTTGGTAGAACAATCAACTGACCCACATCATTGACAGGGTACGCACTGTTGGCGGAACCATTTGGTAAAACAATCAACTGACCCACATCATTGACAGGGTACGCATTGTGGGTGGAACCAGTTGGTAGAACCATCAACAGACCCAAATCATTGACAGGGTGGGGCGGTCGGGTAGCCTAGTGGTTAAAGCGTTCGATCGTCACGCAGAAGACCCGGGCTCGATTCCCGACATGGGTACAATGTGTGAAGCCCGCCGTGATATTGCTGGAATATTGCTAAAAGCGGCGTAAAACCATACTCACTCACTCACTCACTCATTGACTCAGGGTACGCATTGTGGGTGGAACCAGTTGTTAGAACACGCAACAGACCTACATCATTGACAGGGTACGCACTGTGGGTGGAACCAGTTGTTAGAACACGCAACAGACCTACATCATTGACAGGGTACGCACTGTGGGTGGAACCAGTTGTTAGAACACGCAACAGACCTACATCATTGACAGGGTACGCACTGTGGGTGGAACCAGTTGTTAGAACACGCAACAGACCTACATCATTGACAGGGTACGCATTGTGGGTGGAACCAGTTGTTAGAACACGCAACAGACCTACATCATTGACAGGGTACGCACTGTGGGTGGAACCAGTTGTTAGAACACGCAACAGACCTACATCATTGACAGGGTACGCACTGTGGGTGGAACCAGTTGTTAGAACACGCAACAGACCTACATCATTGACAGTTTACGCACCAATTGCGTTACAAGCAGTTGACTTACATGCTACAAACTGCTTTACAATTAGTGGGCTTACATGCTACCAACTGCTCTACAATTAGTTCGCTTACATGCTACCAACTGCTTTACAATTAGTGGGCTTACATGCTACCAACTGCTTTTCAATTAGTGGGCTTACATGCTACCAATTATTACAATCAATCCACTTACATGCTGTGATTGTCGATGAGAATGCATATTATTACAAGAATAAACATTTTTGCTAATAAAGTTTCACACCGATGTTTGCACGTGTGTGCACGTTTCTGCTGTAAAACAGAATGTAGAAGAACTCGGACCTCAGCACAAGGATAGCTACTTCATGGCCCAGGACATTAAGTAACGGCCAGCGGGTACATGTAAGGTCATTTTACCAACTTATTTTACAAATGCGGGCATTGTGTGTAATTGAAGTGCCTCTATTGAACACCTGTTGTGTAACCGCTGTAATTTTGAGATCATGTATGATTGCTGCTTCGCTATAGCATTATGTGTTTGTGTGGTTATACTCGTATGTACGCATGGTGTGCTATTTCTTGTACAATGTCTCAAACGCACCATTGTAAATAGCCTAAGTTCAACACATCAGTGGAGGCATTAAGTGAGGGAGGGAGTCACATGTAATCCTGTGTTGACAGGATCCGCTGGTCGTGGGTTTCGCTCCGATTATAAGGCACGCTTTGTCAACATCATAACCATGCTTCCAACTTCAAACTGACACGCCGTGATATAACTGAAATACTGTACAAAGCGGCGTTAAACAAGACTCACTCACTCACTCACTTATTGTAGTCGGAATCATAACGGTTACCCCGACTTAATAGCAACGCTATTGTACACAAATCTGAGCTGTTATTAGCGAAAGAAATTGCCAATTGTACTTGTTGGTAAACGTGTAATCTTATCATATTGAATTGATATTATGTTGTATAACCCCTTATAGGAATGAAAATGATGTCATATTTGTCCTAAAAGTGTTCGTCAATTAGAACCCTGTTGTTTCACGATTGCTACCGTAACATGTACAGGCTCCTGTCACGCTCTTGTAAAACCTACTGTATTTCGGGGTTTTCATGTATTTCGTTGTTTTATGGTAATGTGTGAATCATACCATCAAGTCAGTTTGTGTTGTAATGAATTGTTGTGCATTTTGTATTGCTTTCTTTTTTACTTGAAAGATGCAATGAATAATAATCATTTCTTTTAAATAGACTTGTGATTATCAACCGAAACGCTTTTGAATAATAAATACATTGCGGACATGGCAACGTTTGATGTTTATGCTTGCTATCTGTTGACGTGAATGGTCCGATGTTCTTGGAACGTATTCTGGGCGTCAGACCGATGATAGGACTGCCATTCTGTCTGTCTTGACAGTGTTTTCCCTTACTTGTAATCTTCGGCGTATAAACCTAGGACCGAGAAGTTGTGACAGTTCTAACGATAACAGGGGTGTTGTGACAATTCTGGCCGTGATCAAGATGATGTTACCGTAGAACTGTCACAAACTATAGTCATCGCTAGTAGCTGCTTTCCGGAATCTGACGATGGCAGCTCAATCATTACATGCAAGCTCACACAACTGTGCCGAAAAAACAACATTTTACGTGAAGCGGGCCTCAACACTATGGTTTTAACTCCGCCCCTTGAGTGAGTGAGTGAGTATGGTTTTACGCCGCTTTTAGCAATATTCCAGCAATATCACGGTGGGGGTCACCAGAAATGGGCTTCACACATTGTACCCATGTGGGGAATCAATCCCGGGTCTACGGCGTGGCGATTGAACGCTTAAACCACTAGGCCACCCCACCGCCCCAATGAGGGCCGAGCGTTCTACGAATGGAAGGGAGCTCGTTTTCAGGGACGTTCATGTTTTCCTTACAGTGCTCGAAATAAATGTATGGTCACGTGATTCTCCATATGGGGATCTACAACAGTGTGTAACTGTGGAAGTGATCGCATCTTACACGAAACAATGCATTTCCAAGAAAACGTAACGTTTTCACAACTTCAATAAGGGACCAATTATTTCATAACAAACATGTCTGATGGGCCACAGTCGCACACAGTACCTTCGAGATTAAATATTGGCGGTGATGCACTTCACGATAGCGCAAAGCTGGAGCACGAACAGTTGTAATCTTATCGCTTTAATACCAGCTAACATAAACCGTTTAGCAACACTGACGTTACTTAACTTAAAAAGACAATGTTAAACAACAATGACTGCGTCATTTATCAACGTTCACTCACTTACTCCAAACGTTGTAGTACCTTGGTGATAGGTCAGTTACCCTTTGTCGCATTATTCCTGTGAAGCTTCAGTCATCTCGCACAGTACCGCGTCCCTGGTGGAGTGGATAGAGCGTCTGGCTGGGTAGTGGAGGTGGTTCGATCTCCTCTCCGCGTCATGCCAAAATACGTTAAAACATGGTACTTGTTGTTACCCTGCCTGGCGTTCGGCACTAAGGCTATAAACAAGGACCGGGTTCGGGTTCAGCATGTGTGTCTGAATTGGGTATCCGAATTAAATTGCGACTAGCACTATAAAACCGGCAATACTCATGACTACCTGTAGTACACACATGTATGTACCTCACCTCACCTCACCTCACCTCACCTCACCTTATTGACACCCTGGCTAACTCGACAATCAAATATCATTTCATTAGTTCGTCAGAAAGCTCTTTTACGACCGCTTCATCAAGATACGGCTTCTACGACCAGTAATCGACAATACAACACAAACATTAGATCCATATGGCTGTTTGTCCGTATACAGAGGATGTCACCTGTGATGTTTGTCATGTAATTTCCTTCCCCTTCCTCGTGGCAGGAGTATTTCATTCGTTTTCTGAAAACAGAACCTACAACATGTTCAAGATATTATGAGGGGGCAAGGTTGACACAATACGCCGCAATTCGCTATGCAGAGTTGCGTCCCTTGGCACACCAGAAACCTTTGATAGCGGTTTCGAATCCGGTTCGCCCCGATTATGTTTCTAGGTTTGTAAGCACCATACCCGTGCTCGTGGGTTTCACCAAAGTTTGTACTGTTACAAGAGGCGCTAAACCCAACTCACTCACTCACTGGATTTACAGGCTGCCGCGATATGGCTTGAATATTGCTGTGACCGGCTTAAAAGAACAAACAACAGAGGCATGATAATACAGTCTGGATCAGAAAAAGCAGGGATTTATGTTGTTGGCGATGTCCCACGTCGCCGGGGTATAATGACATGAAATAAACCTTGGACGACATGACATCCGTCTGGTCTAGACAAGCATACATGTAAGTTCCTGGGGACCTATTCTAACCCGGACGTACCGCGTGTACCATTGCTAAAGGAATTCAACTAATCCGCCAAGCACTTTGCGTTTAAGTGACATTTCTTGTACGAAATACGGCAGTGTTAGTTATATTAATAATAATAACTCGTATATTTAATTTAATATCATATCAATATATATATATGAAAATTTGGAGCTTGATAGTCACATGTTGTCGTTGTACAAAGGCATTGAAAACTGTTCATTGTCATGTTACATAAGGCCACAAGGTAGCGCTGAACTCGTGTGACCGCCCCGGGCAGCAATCACGGCTCTTAATCACCTCGGCACTGACTGGATAAGTGTACGAATTCAGTCCTGCAGAATTCTGCGCCATTCTGTTTGTAACGCGTTGGCCAGTTGTGGGAGTGTCTGCGGCGTGTTCTGACGTTGACGTACTCGTCGATCGAGTTCATCCCAGAGGTGTTCGATTGGGTCGAGATCTGGAGATCTCGACGGCCAGGGCAAGTCGTTGATGTTGGTATAATGAAGGTAGTCACGAGCTGTGTGCGGTGGAGCGTTGTCCTGTTGAAACAGCTCCCTCTGTCGGTTTATGATTGGAAAAAGGTGAGGTTGAAGAATTTGATTCATGTAGTGATTTGCTGTCAAATGTTCCTGAACCACAACCAAGTCAGATCTCCTTGTGTAAGATATGGCCCCCCACGCCATGACACTACCGCCACCGAATTTGTCGAATTCACGTTCACAATGTCGGGCAAAACGCTCATTTCGACGATGATAAATACGTTGTCTTCAATCTCGCTGGTGAAGAAGAAATCGTGATTCATCGCTAAACCACACTCGTATCCAGTTTCTCAAATGTCAAGGCTGTAAGGTATGGCACCAACGCAAGCGTCGCCGTCGATGGATCTGTTGCAAAACAGGGACGATAACTGTTCTTCTGGGTCGGATTCCAGCCTCGCGAAGATCGTTCCTGACAGTCTGGTCCGATATCCTCCTCAAACCAGGGATGCGCCCTGCAGTCTCCGTAGCTGTGGCATTGCGATGACGTACGTGGAACAGTCGAATGTAGCGATCCTGTGCAGGGGTGGTAACTCTTGGTCGGCCGGTTCTCGGACGGTCTGCAGTGGAATTGAACTGTGTGAATCGGTCAAAAAGGCGGCTAATGGTGCTGTGATTCCCCTCTTTGGATACGTCCTACGGTGATTTTCCGATAAGCAGCGCTGAGTCTCGGCATTTTCGAACTTAAAAAATGTTGACAATTGAATGACAAATTATTGCCATAACTTGCGCGTGCATTTTGCTTTACTGTTTTCCTCAATGACATTTTTGAACAAGTGTGAAAACAATGTCGTTTAAGGCATTGCATATCGACAATGGCTGCGTTTTGACGCACCGAATGTCGAATATCAGGCCACCAACATTTTCCAATAACTTATATCCAATTTATATGCCGGATTTTTTGTGTAGTCAGGTTCGAT